AGAAAAGAAAAAAAAAAAAAAAAAAGAAGGGGGGGGGGGGGGGGGAAGGAGGACAATCCAGGGAACTACAGACCAGTCAGGCTTACCTCAGTCCCAGGAAAAATCCTGGAGGGGATCCTCAAGGAATCCATTTTGAAGCAGTTGGAAGAGGGGATAGTGATCAGCAATAGTCAACATGGATTCACCAAGGGCAAGTTATGCTCCTATGACAAGGTAACTGGCTCTGTGGACATGGGGAAATTAGTGGATGTGCTAAACCTTGACTTTAGCAAAGCTTTTGATAAAGTCTCCCACAATATTCTTGCCAGCAAGTTAAGAGAGTATGGATAGAAAGCTGGCTAGGTTGTTGGGCCCAATGGGTAGTGATCAACAGTTCAATGTCAGGTTAGCGGTTGGTTTCAAGTGGAATGCCATAAGGATCGGTTCTAGGGCCAGTTTTGTTCAACATCTTTATTAATGACCTGGATGAGGGGATAGATTGCACCCTCAGCAAGTTTGCAGATGACACTAAGTTAGGGGGAGAGGTAGATACTCTGGAGAGTAGAGACAGGGTCCAGAGTGAATTGGAGAACTGGGCCAAAAGAAAGCTGTTGAGGTTCAACAAGGACACGTACACAGTCCAGCACTTGGGACGGAAGAATCCCAAGCATTGTTACAGGCTGGGGACCGACTGGCTAGGCAGCAGTTTGGCAGAAAAGGACCTGGGGGTTACAGTGGATGTAAAGCTGGATATGAGCCAACAGGGTGCCCTTGTAGCCACGAAAGCTAATGGCATATTAGGGTGCATTAGGAGGAGCATTGCCAGCAGATCCAGAGATGTCATTATTCCCCTTTATTCAGCACTAGTGAGGCCACATCTGGAGTATTGCGTCCAGTTCTGGGGGCCCCATTACAGAAAGGATGTGATTGCACTGGAAAAGGTCCTGCGGAGGGCAAGAAAAATGATTAGGGGACTGGAGCACATGACTTATGAGGAGAGGATGAGGGATTTGGGCTTGTTTAGTCTACAGAAGGGAACAGCAAGGGGGGATTTGATAGCAGCCTTCAACTACCTGAGGGGAGGTTCCAAGGAGGATGGAGAGAGGCTGTTCTCAGTGGCGATGGATGGCAAAACAAGGAGCAATGGTTTCAAGTTACAGTGGGGGAGGTCTAGGCTTGATATTAGGAGGGTGAAACTATTTCCCTAGGAGGGTGGTGAAGCACTGGAATGGGTTCCCTAGGGAGGGGGTGGAATCTCCATCCCTAGAGGTGTTTAAGTTCTGGCTTGACAAAGTCCTGGCTGGGTTGATTCACTTGGGGCTGGTTCTGCTTTGGGCAGGGGGCTGGACTTGATGACTCCTGAGGTCTCTGCCAGCCCTAGGATTCTTTGGCAGGCCAAATGCACCGCACTTGCAGCTGGGTGATCCAGCCAAAGAGGCAAGTTGTACCGGGCTTGGCAGACAGGTATGTTGCAGTTGCGCCTGCGTGATGAGCTAAGTATGGTCCAAGCATGAGACCATTGGGTTGCTGCCCTGGAGAGCTTAGTCTTCAAGACAAAGAGCTAAAGGATGCGGGAAAGGGAAACCTGTAGCACCATCATGGGCGGGGGGAAGGGGGATGATTAGTAGCTTTGTCTGGATTTTATTGTACATTTTGCATGGACCTCAGCTGTTCTGCCACTGAAACCATCATTAGCTGGCTGATTTTTGTAGGCATCACAGCAGAAGTTGTGCTTGAGCAGGAATTTGCAAGAGACCAGTGATCTGGTGCGCGTGGGCAGGAGAATGCTGAACAGCACGGAGGCAGCCATGGGAGAATGGGACGAACGGCGAGGAGGCTGGCATTTTGAAAGGCAGTGGGCATGGTGCTGCACAGCAGGGGGAAGCTGTGTTTGGCCAGCAGGTGGATGGAGACAATCCTGGCAGAGTACAAAGAGAGGCAAGCAAAGCGAGATGCCAAAGAGCCAGGGAGAGGCTCACCTGGGTGTGCTGTGTGGAAGCTGCAAGCCCTGAGATGCCACTGACGTGGAATTGAAGGGAAGGTGGTGCCGTGGTAAGAGGAGGTCAGCTGATGCCAGGGCTCCCTGTCCCCAGCACAGACCCGTGTTGCCAGCAGCCCTGCTCTGAGGCAGCGCACCTCGCTGGACAGGTGCTAACAGCTTCCCTGGTCAGTGTGGATGGGGTTTTACACTGACTGCTCTCCTTTGCTTTGGGTCTGCACCTTGAAACCAGAGAGCCTTTGTCCCGGAGAGCCAAGTGTTTTGGCCACAGACTGTGAAGGGAACACACCAGCCAGGAAGCACATCACTGTCCTCTCCAGCTGGGTCGCTTTCACTCATCTTACAGGCTCACTGCTTTTCCTGCTTCCTTTGGCGCTCAGGCGGAAAGAGCGTCATTAGGTGTCTAGGGCCAGTGAAATCTACGTAAGGCAGCTTGCATCCACCCGACTGTGTCTACATTACAGCGTTGTGTGCGACTGACATGGGCTGGAATTCCACCTCCACAAGAAACAGGTTGATGTAATTAGGGCAATGCAGTGTCCCCAGCGCCGAGCAGTCGGGGCCCAGCTGAGAGCACCCCACGCTGACCCTCTGCTGCCAGTGGGAGCACTCCTGATAAAGACGCGCTCCACTGGCAGAAGGACTGTGTGGACATGAAAAAACACAGCAACGGCAGCAGCGACTGTAAGTCGACCCAATGGCGGTTGAATTAATTGTGCAGCAGATACAAGGCTTAGGCGAAGGATCCCCTAGCAGAGACAATATGAAAAACAGGGGACCCCGCATGTTCTGTACTTACTGATGCAGCAGCTCTTTTATTGTAGTCCCCAGGATTCCCGACTGATGAAGGCTGAACGGCGGCAGAGCAGGTAATAAAAGCAGTCACATACAGGACAGTTGCAGCTGCGTTGAAGATCACTAACTACGGAAAGAAAAAGAGGTTTTATACAAAAGCACCAATCTACTTCCTTTTCTTCCTGAGTCTTGGCTCTGCTCCTAGCTGTAGTATCCCGAGAGTTTTGCAAAGATCTTAGGTTGGACAAGCCCATTCTCAAAGAGATGGGCAAGGCCAGGTTTCCCCACGACTCTACTGAGAATTTGATGACGCTCTCGGAGCTCTGTGTAGCAGCTGGCAGAAGCATAATGCAGCTCCGTTTTGCCTGAGCTGACGAGACTATTATCGTGTTACAGAGTCATACTACAAGCTGGTGACGTTCATGGCTATGCTGCAAACACTATAGGCTCCAACTTGTGGGATTTTTTAGATCCATGGTTGGGGTCTTTTGCTTTGCCTTCTAGCTTTTGAGCCCTTGGAGAGCACATTTTTCACCCTTTTTCCTGAAACCATGAGAGCTAGAAACTCACTTAAAAAAAATCTCAAAATATCCCCATATTTACATGCAAGTTCTTAAAGGGAAAACAAATACTGCAAGAGGTAGCAGCTGCCTGAGCTTTTTACATATGTTTAATCAGATACATTTAAAAATAACTTATTGTTAAACTGGTACCTCTCTGCAGGTAGTAAGCTAACAGATTCTTTCTGTAGTTCTTCTTCCCAGAACACTGGCCCCAAAATGTTTCTAGTCCTTCTGCATGTGAAATGTCTAATACTGCCTGCACTGTCCTCAGACTGAGTTTGCACTCAGACTGAAACAGCGATAAAAAGAGGCAAGCTTCCTCTGGGCATCTCAATTGGATGTCTACTTTTAATTATCAACACTTCAGCTGCTTCACTTCTGATAGCCACACCAGAAACCCCCCTTGTGCATGGGGAAGGACACAGAAGCAGCATTACATTCTGAACAGGCCTATTATGCCTAGGTGTTCTTGTGATGGTCTAAATATCTGAAGTGTGGAGCTTTCCTTGAGCCCGAGGTGTCAGGTGTGTTATGCACAAATCGATTGCTGCATTCAAATGCATCCTTTGCTTGTGCTCAGTGCTGAGTTGCAATAACAAGTAAAGCGTGGCCTATATCCTCATGTCAGAAGTGTCTGAAAACTTGGTTGTAGGGTTAAAGTGATGTTTCTAATCAGGTCTGGATTTTTGCAGGGGGATCTGTGGAATCCCAGACATAATGCAGCTTTCGGGGAGTCTTAAAAGTCCCGTGACTCAGCAGCATACAGAAGAAAACTAAAGAGCTAGTGAAGGGAGAATATTTGTGAACATGACGAATGTCAGGCACAAACAGAGCCACTTTGGAGTAAGTAGTGACTACGCCGGTGGATAACTAACAGGGCAGCGTATCTTTCCCACTTTGGTCATGGAGTGGGTGCAGTAACAAATGGGGTTTGTTAAAAGAAGGAATTCTGGGAACTGCACTGGAAATAAAACCCCCTAATGCTGCCCATGGAATCAGCCTGAGCTTCGAAGACAGGAGCACTCCATGCAGCCTTATATGGGCCAGACTAGTTCGTTCCCAGGCTTTGAGCTAAATGGCCCAGCCCTTTTTGTACTATTGCCTGGACATGTTACTTTGTTATTCTGGGACCCTGTCCTGCATTCCTTGTATCATCAGAACTCCCACGCCAGTTCAATGTGGTTGCGTTTAGGCACCTCCCATGGGCGCTCAGCCAAAACCGACTGGGGTGGAATTTCTGCTTCTTCCCACTGGGACACCCAAAGACCTGGCTATGGGGGAGTCACCTTCCTACCCACGCCTACTGGCTGAGTTCAGAGTTCCCCGTGGCCATGCCCCCTGCTCTGCTATTCTGTTGCCCTGGGGTCTGCCTCTCTCCTTTGGGTAGCAGGTGGCTGCTTTGCAGAGCAGGCTCTGTTGCCTTCCCTGTCATTCCCAGCTTGGTGGCTCTTGGTAGTAGCCATACAGGGCCTGACCCCCACCTGCTCTGAGCAGTGTAATCGGGCTGTGGGGAGTGGAGCTGGACTGGACTCAGATGTTTTGTGATCTAGGCTCCCTTCTAGGGTTGCCAGATGGTTTAACTAAAAATACTGAACACCACCCCTCCATCCCCCACCCCAAAAAACCCACTGGGGAAAAAATTCTGTTAAGCAATAAAAATAAAACAGAATGGCCCCTTTAAGAAAAGCTTTTTGCCAGCTGCCATCTTGTTTTCCTGATCAAGCCAGAAGACAGCTTCCCTGCAGAACCAGGTAAGCGGGTGGTCCGGGGGGCTCAGAAGGGGGGCCCAAGGGCTAGGCCCGGTTGCTGAGTGTGTGTAGGGTTGCCAGGTGTCCGGTATTTTCGCCTCCTGTCTGGTGAAAAAATTCAGAAAATACCGGACACCTGGCAACCCTACTCCCTTCTATGGGCAGGGAGCACTGGTAAGAGCCAAGCTATATGCAGAGCTCTTCTTCAGGTCTGAGAGCAGGGCTCGGCTTAGTGTTGCACCAGCAGCTCTTTAGCAAAGGTGCTTGGATGTAGGGTTGCCAGGGGTCCGGAACTGAGCCGGACAATCCGGTATTTTTGCCTCCTGTCCAGTAAAAAAATTCAGAAAATACCGGACACCTAAAATATCTGGTATTTCCTGATTCCTTCCCGCCCAGGAGGTGAAAACCCCGGGTGCTTACCAGGTTCCGCAGGGGAGATGTCTGGCTCAGCGTAGGGAGGCAAAATGGTGGGCAGCCGCTGGCAGCTTGTTAGGGCCAAAAAGCCTCAGAAGCAAAGCATTTCTTAAAGACGCCATGCCGAGTTTTTTCATAGAATCATAGGACTGGAAGGGACCTCGAGAAGTCATCGAGTTCAGCCCCCCGCCCTCAAGGCAGGACCAAGCTCCGTCTACACCATCCCTGACAGATGTCTGTCTATCTAACCTGTTCTTAAATATCTCCAGAGAGGGAGATTCCACCACCCTCAACAAATTTTGTCTCCCCCTTTGTTTTAATCTCAACAGAATTTTTCCCCGGTGTTTTTTTTGGGGGGGGGGGGAGTTGTATTTTTTGTTAAACCATCTGGCAACCCTATGTATGGAATTGTCAGCCCCCTAAGATCATTTGACACGGAATGATTTCCCCTGTGAAATACACCAGGCATCCCCAGCGACACGGGCTTACCACAAGAGGCCAAGGGATCATGTAGAGCTTCATCTGCAGCTGCAGTAGATACGTCACAAACAGAATGACTGTTACCAGCCAGAAGAAGATGGCTACAAACATCACCCAGCCGAATGCTGGAATGTTTTGGTAGGCCGTACTTGCGATGAGCGCCCACACCAGCAAGCCAAATGCCTGAGGAACAGAAAGGAAAACATGATCAATGCAAAGGAAACAAAGAAATCTTTATAAGTCTTCCTTCAGGGACATTTGCCATTGATGTCAATGAGAGCAGGGTCCAGCCCTCCCTTAATGAACTTTATCAAATGTATTGTTTTTAAGCACTTTTGGTTTCTTTTCTAGATACATGTCTCTGGAATGTCAAGCCTACACTTTCCCCAGTTTTGCTGGAGAACTTTTCCCAGACCTCAGAATATGGCTTGTTAGCTTTCTTACTTGATGGGGTGGGGATGCCTTCTCTTTAGCAAAGAGATCTTTGTCTCCCAACTGTTTGCTTAGGCATTTGAGTTAAATGGTGTGTTAACAAAAAAGAACTGAGACCGATAAGCCTGACTGTAAATTTCTTTTGCCTGGTAGCTGTGAAGCTATAACCCTACAAGCAGTTCATAGCATTTTTCAGGAAGACTTTCAATTTCTAATGTAAAAGAAACACCAAAACCCCCAAAAAACAAAAACAAGAAACACCCTCTTTGAGTCCTTATTCAAATACAATGGTACAAACGCACAACTGTATCCCCCTTTACAGGTTGCCATTCACATCTGCCATCTCTTGTCAGTCCTTTAAGGAGGACGGCACCTCCCGTGATGTGTTTTGGGTTGATGAGACCCCAGGGAAGCTGGATGCATGGTCATTGTGTGACACGCCCCGTAATGGGCACAGCACTTTCCCAGGCCTCTTCCCTGCTTTGGTTCCTCACAATCGTTTATAGACACTGGCAGTGATTACTGCACTGCTGGGGGGTTGGCTGGGTTTTTCTAATGGAACGAGCGTCCTCCATCCGGGTAAGGCTGGCCTTGCTTTTTTCTGTCAGGGCCCTGAGATTCCGGGGGGAGAGGGGGAATTATTGATTGCTGTTACTCATCAGAATAATTACTAGTAACAATGGCTGATATTGACATAGCACTTCCTAGCCAGGGATCTCAGCCCACCCGCTCCTCACTAGGCCCAGGTAACATGCCCTATCTGCTCTTGCTTCCCTTTTCAAGCAGTCCCTCTACTCTGCCCTGGTTCTGTTTCCCCCAGTCTAACCCCCACCATCCTAGGGCCTAGAACACTGCCCCTCCCTTCATCCACCCTCTCTCCTCCAAATTCCTCCCTAAAACCAGCTGCTGCTCAGCAGTCCCATCCTGCGTTTTGGTCTTATCTGGAGGGATCCTGCCTCCTCCCTCCCATGACCTGTTGTCTTGTGTGTGGCTTGTCTGACGTGGCTTGGACACTCCTTGTGAGCAGGGTGTGTGTCCTACGCTAAAGAACTGTAAACACAGGGAGCAATGGAATGAGGAAACGGGTTAGCCAAAGGCCCTGCAGGAATAGCCTCTGAAGAGCCAGGGACTTCCTGGAAAGTCTTGCACAGTAATCGGTGGGGAGCACTACTATGAGGAAGAAAAGGCTGGAAAGACTATGGAGCCATGGGCTGTGGAAGGAAAGGGGGGGGAAGGGAGGGGTGAGTGCCCCACACTAGCCCTGCAAGACCGTAGGCCCAATCTGTTAATTATGCTGCAAACTGGGGAGCTTTAGGCCAGAGGCTGCTGGTTGGAGAGAGGTTCCTGAGCGCAAGGAGAGGCAGGGAGCCAGGGGCCTACACAGGGCTGCTGAGAAAGGAAGCTTGGGGGTTTCAGGGAGCCAGTCCCCCGCTGTTCCTGGGAGGAGAGTTTGCTGCTGGTGCCCACACAGAGAGAAAGGGACCCAGTGTGCCAGATTCAGTCCAGGGAAGGAGCTGTGCAAGCAGAGGGAGGAATCCCTGAGGGTCCCCGGACTGGAACCTGGAGGTAGGCCAGCCCCGGGGGGGCGGGATAGACCAGAGGCAGTGCAAGGGAACTGCCGGGGACTGGCCCCCCAAAGGAGAACACAGCGTGAGCGAGCTGGAGGGCTCTGTCACAGAGAAGATGTGGAGCGTCCTGGAGCGAGAGGGGAGCTGCAGCCCAGAGAGTGAGACAGAGGACTGGCCTGCTAAACCCGGGCGGGGGCCTGCACCTTGAGAGCTAATCCTAGTGACCAGGAGCAGTGCCAGACCCCCAGACAAACCATCCTGAACACGGGCCTCCCCACAGTAAGGGAGCTGGCCAGGATCATCCCCCCAGGGCAGAGAGGGCTGAGATCTGCCTCCGTACCGGCTGAACTAGGGATCTGCCTAGGGCAATGGAAACCATGGTTGGGTATGTCAGCACTAGGCACGGCTGCCAGGCTTGGGCCACGTCACAGGCATTGCCGGCGGCACTTGCCCCAGACCTGCCTTGATGAGTAATAAGCAGGAACAGGCAATACATACGCCAACGCCCATGGTGATAAGAGAACCATGGGAAGCTGGGGGAGGGGGCAGTTTAAAGCGTGGGCCCAGGCTAAGGAGATTATCCACTGCCCTTGGCATCAGGAGACCACAGTCCTCCTCCCATCTGTGCCACTGACTGCATGATACAGACCAGTCACTTCCACTGCTCCGTGCCTCAGTTTCCCCTTCTGTCAATAGTGCTAGTAGTGCTTAGCCAGGCTGAGGTCTATGGGTGCCGAGTGCTCAGAATTAGTTTAATTTGACTGTCCGTGGGGAGAGAATTCCAAACGCCCTGTCTTCCCACCAGCTCGGCTTTTATATCTTGGGGAAGGCAGCAGCTGAGCTCAGTGACCGGTCACAGGGCAGGAGAATTTAGCTGTTTTATTTAGAGCTTTACGTACTACAGTAGCACAACACCTTGCACCATTTTGAAATGACCCTCCTGAGACATGGGTAAATACAGTCACCAAGCGACGTAAGGCAGGTAGAACACAAAGGGGCTATACCTGTCGGCCAAATATTAGTCACACTAATTACTCACTGAATAATAAAGCAAACAGAGAAGAATTGGGACAAGGGAAAAATAAAAGCTGGACAGAAGAAGTTAAGAAGGGATGAGTATAATAAACACCGCAGAGAGGAGCCCTTCATGCAGAGGCAACAGCTGTTCAATAGCTCATAACCTGGACACACCTGCTGACCAGCTGTTTCACATCTGAACCATGCTTTCACTTTCCAATGAGTTGTAATTCTGTCTGCAGCCGCCATACTTCCTGGGCTGTATTTCTGGCTCTGCCACCCACCTGGTGAGTGACCTGGGGTGAGTCATGTTGCCCCTCTGTGCCTCAGTTTCCCTTTTCACTTTTTATTAAGAGTGCAACCTCTTAGAGACAGGGACCATCTCATCTATGCCCAGCACCTTGCACTCTTATTCTTTGTACTACCACCGTGCCTAAGAGCCCTAATCAGTGACCAAGACACCATTATGTCAGGTACTGCACAAGCAGAACAAAACCGATGGATTCTCTAGGCATCCCCGCAAAACAAATACTCCCTGATCTAGCAACTTCTGTGGTCCAGCATGGACCACAGCCATTCCTGGACACAGAGCCCAGGAAGAGGATGGTCTGGCGGCAAGGCAGGAGCGCCATAATGGGCGCTGGTGACACAGCCGGGAGCCCAAAGTGTGTGTGTGGAGAGGGGAGATGGATGGGTGGCATCACAGGAAGTTCTCGCCCCAGCGGAGCTCCCTGGGATCCCGTGGCCAGGGAGCTCTAGTCTGGCCACACGCCGTGGACCTCTGGCAGCCAGGGCGCTCTGGCCCCGTTCCTGGCTGTGGAATTTCAACCATGTTCTGGCTCCAGAGGCCAGGGAACTCCAGCCTCAGTGACAGCCAGGGAGCTCTGGCCTGGGCCACAGAGCTCCAGCCCCATCCCTCCGCCCCGGCTGCAGAGCTCTGGAGCCAGCTGGCTGTGGAGCTCTGCCCTGACTGCACAGCTCTGGCCCAGGCAGCAGCAGGGCCGGGGAGAGCCCCAGGGGGCTGAGGCAGCAGTGGGGGCAGGCTGACCCCTAGCCAGGTGGCAGCACGGCCACGAGGGGAGGGACCTTTCCTGGTCTGGCAAAGCCCCTCATTTGGGGGCTGTTAGGTCCCAAGGGTCCAGGACCAGCGAGGTCCAACCCATAACAGCTCCTGCTTGCCCGTGTTTGCCAGGCTTGGGGAGCACTCGTGCATCCAGCTCAGAGTATAAACAGCTGTTGTGCGCTGACACTCTCCTGTGTTACTGGTCACTAGAGCCCTGCAGGTCTGAGCGTTCCGTCCTGCTGCTGCTAATCGAACAGTCCCCGGTGGGATGGTGAACTGTTCTGCACCACTGATGTCAATGCAACTGGGAGGAGGGTGGCCAACTTTCCAAATTTAAGGAAATTGAGTGCCCCTGCTCCACCTCCTCCCCTGAAGCCCTGCCTCTACTCCTCCCGCAAGGCCCCACCCTCTGCTCATTCCTCTTCCCCTCCCCCACTCTGCGCCCAGCCCATGGACTGCCCCACACTCCCCACCGCACAGGTACCTGTGGGGCGAGGCTCTCTCCTCCCACTGCCCCTGCTCCCCAGCATGCTCAGTGCCTGTCTCTGGTACTCGGGCCGGGCAGGGCGGGGCAGGGCAGGGCGAGGGGGAGGGCAGCCAGATGCCACTTTCTCAGGTAGCCCAGCTGCCGTACTGGGCTCTCACGCTGACCCAGAGCAAAGCAGCCGTTGGGAGAAGCGGGTGGTCCCCAGTACTCCCTGCAAGCTGTGTGCTTGGGAGAGAGAGAAGAGATTCAAACCCCACCCTGCTGGTTAGCAGATTGCCCACAGCGTGGGTTTCTATTGATGGTGCACATCTGCATATGCCTTGGTGCACATAACAAAATTGATTCTGCACACAGATGGAAAAATTAGAGAGACCATTAAGAGGTCCCATCCCTTCTGCACATGTATCCAGCACACTCAGCCTGTCACCCTGGCATCCTGGCTTAAGCAGGGAGCAGAAGGGTCACGTGACAGCCCAACTGCCCAGCCAGCCTGGCAGTTGCCTGCACAAGGGAGAGCCTGGCTGTAGGAAGTGGCGGAGACAGCAGTGGGAGGAGGACCAAGCACCTCTCCCCACCCCAGCAGGGCCATCTGGCCCTGCATGTCCCCCCTACATGT